CCCCCCCCCCCCCTCAATACCACCTCGCTACGGCCCTGAACATTGTTCAATCCTGTTAAACAGCGGGCTCATAATTTTTACGCGTGTACCATGACTAGATGACAACTACTTTAAATGTTCGAGGCGAGGGTTTCTGCAAGCATGTATTTTCTAGTTTTATCGAGTGAGATGCCCGAAATAAATATAAGTGCGTTTTTCGTCCGTGCTCAAAATAAAATAAACCTTTAGAGTTTGTTTAGTAAATGGTGAATTCGTCTTCAGTTGATTTAGCGTTCATTTTACCACAATTGATCAAAATTGGAGCTAAATTGCTTAGAAACACCGTCGTCAATTTCAATTCGTGTGATAACGAACGTGTTTCGAAGTGCAATTCTTGTGAATTGCGCTGCTTGGGCCGATTGGGGCAGCTATATCCGTTGCCCTAATACTAGCGCGTTTGTTTTGTCGAAAATCGATGCGAGTATACAAAGTGATATTCATTGCCCGCTCTAACTCTAAGAAAAATATGCACACTTCGGTCACTTCCCAGAACACTTTCCCGTTAAAACACAATACTTTGACCGTGAAATGACTAAACACTATACAGGTTTACACACGTGATACCGGTGAACTTCGTGGCCACCAAATAGCGAACCCAGTTGTAATTGTAGTGCAAATTGTTTGTCATATATGATTGCATCATGTGGGGAATCAAATATTGTTGGAGGGCGCAGGGACAACTTAAAAGCATAACACAGCATATTTTATCCATGGTGGACCGTGGACGGTGGATCACAACCGTCGCAAAGGATCATAAACTTGCGAAAATGCTCACTAAAATTGATCGTAAAATTTTCAGAAGCTGCAGTTTAGTCACAACAAGTGTATTCGTACGGGCTACTGGTAACCCGGTTTAGTTTGAACATACTAAGTTGTAATATTCCTCATATGACGATAATAACTTCGATCACCATGATGACATTCAGTTCAAAGTTTCAGTGGCAAAACTCGCGTATTTATTTATTTTGTGATATATTCAATAACTCACGTGACGTCACAAATTGTGCTAGACCCAGACTCCCATACCCGACGTACATTTGCCAAACAACCTATAATTCAAGTGGCTCTACAATTTTTGCTTTTCAACCAAACGTTAATAGTCCGCCTGTGTTATACATGTTAATTAAAGTCTGATCCTAACTAAGACACAAATTACATAAGCACATAAACTAGCTTAGTTTAGCTAATGTATTAAATGTATCAAATTTCAATAAAATTTGAACAGGAAGTTTTAATACAAGAACAGTACAAGAGGAAGCTTTTGATTGCGTGTTTATGATACGAAGACTTTGGCATCTTTGTTGGATAGAACTGACAAAAACCCTTCAACTGCATTTTAAAGCTTTCATCTGTTTATACACTGTTTCAGTGATTTAAATATATAAGATATATATTATATGTTCGTGCATAATTGTCCTAGTACGTCTCGTTATCCATTAATTGTTAAGGGGTCGAATATCAATTGGAATTTAGTTTCTGTTTTCTTCTCCTGTCGCAGCATTCTCTAGTTATTGTTATTGTTATCTCTACGTAAATGTATATCTTTAATGTGTGTGACAAAATGAATAAATGATTATCATAATATGTGCTGATATGCCGGTGAGGTGCAATGATAAGATTCCAAAAACTTTAAATAATATATCTAACATCCTTACAATTTAGAAACTTACCCACCAAGTTTGTCCTTATAAAAAGTAGAACGTTTATATAAACCACAGAGTAGATAGGTTAAAACCTTCGAGAAGCCCTATCGCATTCAAACTATCTCCAGGAAATGAAATTGTTTAATTTGAAACGTGTGATGACTTTGTTCTTCCGGGGTCGGGTTAATTAAAATTCAACCTTCAGTTTTGCAATTACAAGTCTGTTCCGTTTCATTTCATTTCAAAACTTTAGAAAATAAAACTTAATTCATTAACACTATTGATTCAGACAAGATTTCTAATTTTCTGGAAAACTATCAGTTCCATGTTAATTATAAACTGTAGTTCATAGCAGTAAGCTCCCTATAGTTTCTAATATATTGATCTCTTTTCAAGTATAAAAATCTCTTTAAAAGCTTATAGGCTTAAAAACTCATTTCTTTGCTTAAGCCTTTATTTCCTCGTATATCAAAGAGTAATTTCAACACACAATCGTTACTCTTTACGTTACCATGGCAATATTACGTCACCATTTATCTAGCCTATATCAGCCAAAAAGCCATCAAGCGGGAAATAAGAACGGTGACCTACCTTTTTTACCATGCGGAACCGCGCGAAATAAAGTGACGTCATTTGAAAAGGACATTGCGAAAGTCTACTACACTGTATGGCGATTTTTTCAAATTTAAATGTATTATAGAACTTATTAGGTTAAATACATGGTCATATTTTGAGATATATGCATGATCACCTTTATAATAAACGAGAAAAAAGTTTCTGAAAATGCCATTTTCAGTTCACAATGTTGTGGCGAAATGCTTGGAAAATCTTTCTTCCCGCGTGGGGTCCCGCTTCCATTTCGTGGTCGACAAAAATGAATAAATGATTGAAAACATGCAAGTTTAATTTTTTTGCAGTTGGAAGAATATATTTGGTTTGTGACGAAAATACTAAAAACACTAAAAATTAAAAAAACTGTTATGCAATAATATTTATTAATCTTTCGGCATAAGACAAGAGTTGTTTTCGGAAACGTTTCGGCATAAGACAAGAGTTGTTTTCGGAAACGTTTCGGCATAAGCAAAGTTGTTTTATGCCATAGCATAATGCATGAAACAGCTCATAATAAAAGTGATAAAATAGCAGATGATTAAAGTTAATCTAATGGGAAAAGTTATAATATAACAATTATGACTGACCTTTCAGACCCATTGCATTTCTAAAGACTAAACGTAAGTTTTAACTGTGTATAGGGATACACATTAGTAATTATTTATGTCACTGTTTTACAAGTCTAAATGTTATAGTGGATGAAAAACATACTAAACACTCGTTAAGAACTGGTTAACACTATACTATACACATAGACATAGCCACTATACGCAGTAAGCTGTCATCTTTCTTTCCAAGATAAACACTATTAAAATCAGATATAGTATATATATATATATAAGATATAGAAGATTTTGATATAGATTTTTTCAAAAATTAAATCTTCTTATATATCTTACTTTAATATAATTTTTTAATGATAAATATTTTTTAAAATATAAAAAGATTTTCAAAAAGTGAACTAAACGATCGGATGTCGCCAACACATTGTAAATAATATACAATAGCCAACTTCTTTTTGACACAATGTAAAATACCATATAACATTTATGTCAAAGTAGAACAATCAATGAGAATAATGTAAAAAGATATACGTTTTTGCAAAGAAAAGAAATCTTCTTATATACTATAAGAAGATATAAGAAAACCTGCTATATGAAGATTTGCCAACTGAAAACTGCTTGTGTAAAAAAATTCACAAATATTCCACGCGCGGGACGCGAGAATGACGTCTGAATAATTCGGCTAAATGAGCCTCAGGGAAAACTGTAGGGGCCTTCTTAAAGGGCGGACCATTAGTGTAGTGTCCTTGTAGTATCAGGTGATCATGTAGTCACGTGATATAGCCTCATGGAGCAGAATGTAAGATGGCGGTTTATTAACAAAGTGTGTTTACAACAATGGCGACAAGGATGAGATTTCATTAGCAAATTACAGTACGATTTACGATGGCTGCAATTCCATCATTTCCGGAATTTGATGTAGAAGACCCATCAAATTTAGCAGTACGATGGGAGAAGTATTTAAAGCGATTCAACAATCTAGTTACAGCGATGAACCTTCGTGACGCAGCTCGCAAAAGAGCCTTGCAACTTCACTATGTTGGTGAACGTGTTAATGATATTTTTAACACACTACCTGACCGAGGAGAAAACAAAACTTTAACGCTGCTTGTGATGCATTGACGGCATATTTTACTCCGAAGAAAAATGTATCCTTTGAAATATTTAAATTTCGTAAATTACAACAAGTCCCAGGCGAAAGCATCGATGAATATCACACACGCTTACAAATTGCGGCAAAATACTGCGAGTTTCACGACCATGACACGGAAATTAAATTACAGATAGAACTTGGGACTTCAAGTAAGAAGCTTCGGCAACATTCGTTTCGCAACCCAAGCCTCACTTTAACAGATTTGATCAGTTATGCTAGGACTCTTGCGGAGACTGAAAAACAAGCATCTGGCATCGCGAATAGTTCATTCAACATGCCCTCGTCAGCAGAGATAAACGCTGTCAACAAAGATAATTCTTCACCAAATGATCAACGTTCACAGAAGCCTGAACCAAAACAGAAAGAGCTGCCTAGAACATCAGAACAGGTACCTACTAGCAGGGGCGGATCTAGGGGTGATCAGAGCGATCACGCGACTAAGGTAAAAATTGGGCAGAAAATTGTTAAATTAAAATAGCAGTCCAGTTATCAAACTTCACGCAGTGTATTGTATTGAAAGTTTAACAGTCCAGTTCTAAGATATCATCCAGTAGCAAGGCCTTCGAACATGAACGCGCAGAAAAGCGGTCTTAAGCCCGTTCTCCACTACGCGAATTTGTTCGCGCGACGCGAAGCGAAAACCGAAATCCGGCAACGTGATTGGTCGGCGAAAAAATTCGCGGCGAAAAAGTAGGATCGCTTCCTACTTTTTATCTGTTCGCGCGAATAAATTCGCCTAGTGGAGAACGGGCTTTACGCATGAGTTTTGCACGCTCTGAGTCAGATTCCAGCCATCTGATTGGCTATCAAGATTTTTGCGCGATCTGTGGGGAGTTCTGATCGCTAAAGCGACCAGGGGCTCGAATACAGGCTATCCTATTGGCTAATTCAAAAATAATAAAATCCTCAATTCCCGTTGGCTGGATTTTTTTGATCGATCATACCGTTCAGGCTAATAGTATGCACGGAAAGGTCTATGACGTTGCTGGATCTTTCTGATCTAGCAGCAGTATTTATGTAAATTGACTAAAATATTATGTAAATTTCGTCTCTTATTATAGCATGTGCGTTTTATGGCAATCGGAATATTTATCAGAAGTTCTAAACTAATACTAGCCATGTCTGTTGGTATTTACGAAACCGCAAAGGCAATATCTTAATCGAAGCGTTCTAAAGACCTATTGAGCGCTGTGAACAACACAAGCTTCTTCCTCGCACCGCGAAATTATGGTGCGGAATCTTACATCGCGAAGTACGTTCGAGAGAAAACGAAATAAGTTTTGTACGGCCTTAAGGTAAATATATTCTATTTTAACTTGATATAGCATCATAGCTGTTGTAGGCTGTAGTGGTTGCGCGTCTGTACGTAATGAGAGATGAAATTTTATACATAATATTTCGGTCAATTTACATAATACTGCGGCTTAATACAAGCTGTTTCAGTTTGTTTATACTTTGTTTATGCCTCTTGTGGAATGTGGGCTTTATATATTGATCAGATACTTAAGAATACCGTATTATTTATGCCTAGTTGTCTAGTATATTAAAACTACAAGCACATGACAATTATGTGGCATGGCTTTGTGTAATACGATCTCTACAACATGTATACAATAAAAGTAAAATGCATCATGTTGCCATTGTGAAAACTTATTCATGGAACATGTTTCTGCTATGAATAAAACTCGAGAAGCAATGAATTAAACGTGGAAATTCTCTTCCTGCGAATTAACAATCAATCAAATGTTTTATAAAACTACATCGCTATATTTGAAAATCTTTTGACCATTCATGTAAATTAAGGACAAAATATGGAGTTATGTGTTTCCTAGGCATGCTGACGAGACCGGAATTGGGCGAAACAGTCATTTTCACGTAACATTTTTTCGTAAAACTGGATACAAATTAATTCGCTTTGCGACACCCCC